GTTGCAGGTTTAAGGAGTTTGCTCTTTCTTAGGCAATGTTCAGACAGGACTCAGATTTATTAGGATCGCTTCAGATATATATTTAACCTATGTGGTGTCAAAAGTGGACTTTGCTATATTGTATATATATTTTGGCTTTGGTTAATTGTGACCTTTAGGATACAAAATGTCAGCCAAGTTTTTCAAGGCTTGCAAATGGGTAATATAGCTATGCAAATAAGAAAGCAGTATAATTTTGAAGGAGGAATGGGAATGTAATACGGTGAGAGCACTACTAATTGTCCCATACATGACCCCAGAACTTAGAAAAGTTTCTTCTGGAAGCTGCCATTGAAAAGTAATTATTTCCAGTTTCTGAGACCATGGATAGGTGGTGGCTTAGTAAAATATAGTTTATTTTTTTATATAGTTAACTAAAATCCCCCAGCCAACATGATTGTCAGCTCTAGGTCTTCTATATTTGCTGATGTAGGTACTGATAACACTTTAAAAATGTTCTTAATCATTGAACGTACATTTATTGACAAACAGCCAATAAGGAGAACATTCCCCCCCCCCAGAGCCAGGATGGAGGTGGGGAGGACGCTCCAACCCCCAATTTTGGAATAGCTCACCCCTTGCTTGCCTCCTTGCTCCTGCTCCTCAGACCTTCGTTGATCCTTGGAAAGGTGTTTGGGCTGGCATTCCCTTAGTAGGCAGCTCCAGAGATGCTTGTGGTTTGGGGACAAAGCCAGATACAGAAACAGGCAGCATTCCAGGCTTCTGTTCTCCCTCTTTCTTGTTCACTCTGAATCTCTCTCAAACATATGGATAGTTTCTTAGTCCTGTGCTACTCAAATGACTGGTGGGAAAGAACTCAATAATGAAGAAAAGGGGAGTGGGATGCCTGATCTCCCCACCCCCAACCAGCAGCTGAGCAGCAGGTGAACAGCTGAACACGTAAGGCAAGGGGGACCATGGGGAGAGACTGATGCTGGTGAAAGCAAGGCCGGGCAGCCACATCTGGCCTGCAGACTAGACGTTCAGCACTCCTGTCACAAATGTTTCTAGTTAGTTGACTTGTTATGGCATAGGATTAGGCTCTACTGCTTCCATTCACTGGATTTGCATTTGTTCCATGAACAGCCCAAATTAATTTGAGATATTGTCACACCCACCAGTTATTTCATGGGGGAAACAATGACTTGCATGATGCTCCCCTTTCTGCAGCAAAGCCCTGGTTTAGTGAAAAGTGAACAATATAGTGACTTCTTTGATTTTACTGTTGGTTCTTTCTGCATGTATTTCAATAGTCATCCTTCTAAAAAGTTTTATTTAAGATATATTTTAAAATAATTATTAGGAATGGAACCTCTCTTTGCACATGTATGTTTGTACTAGACTCTTTGTTTTAAGGGGTCAAATAATTTTTGCTTCTTCTTTGCACAAGTGACCTCCTGAGTTAATGATCTGGTGACTTTTCTTTCTTCTTTTCTTTTTAAAGGTGATTTCCTTAGTTCAGAGAGTGCCCCAAACCACAATGTTCAAGTTCCTGAGGAGAGTGTTCCTCCAGCAGACAGTTGTTTGGAGAGACTTGTTGTCTATGAAAGGGCAAGTGACCAGCCAACAGAAGAGGTCAACCAGGCGCCATGTCCACATCTGGACAGAAAGCGTAAACATTCTGGCGAGAAAATGCAGAATGATGGAAATCTTAAAGAAAATTTTGTAGAGGAACTGGAAGAAGAATTTGCATCAAAAACTAAAAAGCGGAAGAACTCCAAAGGTAAATGAGTCCAGTTGGTAACCCTTATGGCATGGCTTGTGAAATGAAGTCACTATTTGAATTAACAAATGCCCATTTATGGCCATGATTGTGCGGATATCAAGCACTCATGTGAATGATGTCTGGTTTTGCCTATACAATAAAAGTCTCTTCATTGTCCAGTGTAATCACTGGACAGTGCAAATGGCTGTTAGTGCATGCAAATCCCTACTGAGCTAATCTTTTAAAAAATGCATAGTGTGGTGGTGAAGCTGAAACAGTCTGCCCCCCAAAAGTGAACTGTAGCTTTTGTTTCAAGTCAAGGGCCTTTTGATTAATTTTTAGTTATTTTTCCATTAGATGACTGGCCTGAGAGGGAAATGACAAACAGTTCCTCTAACCACTTAGAAGAGCCCAATTGTAATGAGGTGACCAACCTGAAGGTGTGCATTGAATTAACAGGGCTCCATCCCAAAAAGCAGCGTCACCTGCAGCATCTTAGGGAACTATGGGAGCAGCAGGTGTCACCAGAGAGATCCCCACCCGGCAAGTTGGGCCGGCAAAGCAGGAAAGATTTAGCTGAGGCTGTTCAGCCAGAGGCCACTGCAAAGGTCAAAGACTGCACAGAAGAAAGGCACACCAAGAAAAGGTCAGAGGTCAAAAGCAATAGAAGTTGGTCTGAAGAGTCCCTCAAAGCAAGTGACAATGAACAAGGTATGCAGAGATTACTAGGGAAATCTAGCATTACTTAGTGACGCATGCTGCCACCAGTGCTAAGAAGTGTTTAGCTGTTTTCTTTTTGGGAGATGTTTTATATTATATTATTATATATAATATAATTTTTTATTGATATATAAAG